CTTCCAACCAGTCCCAGTGGTGTTTTGTGGATTAGCCTTGGCAGCCTCCAGTCACACTTCCTCTCCAGCTTGGTGGGGGAGCCACACTTGCCACAGGTGGGCTTCTGAAGGTGGGGGGCTTTCGGGCCACGGTGGCAGCACAATGTATGCATCTCGTTGTGGCACTTTCTGAATGACGTCATTCCCTTCGTCATTTTGCTTCTGTGACCAAGGCCAAAGAGGCCCTCTTCTTTCTTTAATAAGGACACCACAAGTTGGATTTAGGACCCACCCTAAATCTAGGCTGATTGTCTGCAAAAACCCTATGTCTCAATAAGGTAACGTTTACAGGTGCCAAGACCTGAATTTATCTTTTGGGAGGACACAATTTAACCCATGACAGATGCCAAAACAGCTCATGGATGATGAATTCTGTAATTCTAATCCCGAGGAGCTGTGAAAGCCCTGTGAGAGGCACTGGGGCAGCGGGAGCTGAGCACTATTTGTGGAGGGCTAATCTATGACTCAGGTTTTACTAATTAACCACCCTCCCAGCATGGAGCTTCTACAGGGAGAGAAAAGGGGAAGAGTGTGAAATCTGAAGCGGGAAGGTGAAGATCTGAAACTGTCTCCTCTATGAGTGACCACGGTCCTATTTTCAATTCTCAAGTATTTCAAAGGCCCCATTTAAAAATCTTCAGTTAACGCATATCAATTTTTCATGCTTTGTTTTTCCCAGGATGTATTACACATGCCATTATTAAACCACTCATTTCGTAATAAGAGGAGATAATTTTAAGTATCTGGATATCAACACGGAATCTGATTCAGCCTTTCATCCTGGGCACCAAGCATAACAGGCTTAGTCAGCCTTTATTAAACACCGGCCAGATGGCCTGGAAGAGCTCACTCATCTCCTTGTTTCAGTCTGATTGACCTCCATGGGGGGCCGGGGGTAGTGAGGAGGGAGCTTGGTCACCTGAATATCTCTCTCTCTCTCTCACACACACACACACACACACATACACATACACATACACACACACACACACACACACACACACACGTCTAACTTAAGAACTTCAAATGTAAGTCTAGGAACCCCAGGATACCCAGAAAGGTATATAAACATATAAAGTTCTGATTTACAAAAAAATTTTTTTACAAAAAGATATATGTACCAACACGTCTACTAACAACCATATCAATACAGAGCTGGGTAATATTTTGAAAATTTTGTTATTTAGAGATGCAGAAAGTAGCAAGTTGCTGTTCACTTAAGTCTATGTGATTGCTAATAAGAAAAGTTCTCTTGTCTGTTCATCATCTATATTTACCTCAGTTGTGGAGTCTGTATTCATGACAGCTCTGCGCATTTATCTATCAGAGTTTTATAGCGTTTCTTACCAATCAGAATAAACCCTTCAGGAATCAATCGTATTCACACTTTAACCTCTCTTTGTATTTGACTTTTAAAAATTTTGTTTAGATATGGAAATATAGAGGTTTTCAAAAACTTTCTGTGTAACAAATCTCGCTAATCTTTATTAAGAAATACTTTCCATCACGTATACTATTTGGAAGTTCTTCCCCATCTAGACACTCAGTGGGTGCTGGCTTTCCTGTAAGTGTTATGTGTTTATTTTGAAGTAAACTATAATGCGAAAATTTTAACTCTGTCCATTTACTGCACTAATCATGCCACTGTACTTACTTAATACACATCAATGTTTGAAACTAAATTCTTACAGAAATCATATTTATGCTATAAGAGAGCTATTTTGTTTTTAAAATGAAACAACCAATCATATTTAAATACAGCAATATCATAGATGAACAGGAAAAAGCAGACCAATAATATGGAAAAATATCATTTCAAAGCTAATCACAATGTAATACATATTACAAAAACCATGGACATTAAAATGCTTAACAACAGACATTTCAGAAGAAACAAGATGTTCGACAGCCCCCTGAATACCCCTTCCCCTTCATTTTTCAGTGTTTCAGGAACTTGAGTTTTAGAAATAACCACGAGTTGAACAGAAGTAGCAGCCACTGCAACACAACCTTAACAAGACAGAAAAGGGAACATTTCATGTTTAGAAGGACAGGTAGAGAATGATAAAAATGTGTGTTTTTAAAATCAACACGTGTGTGTTCAGATTCTCAGCCTTCCTTAGACATTAGAAATTCATCACTAAGCCACACACACCAGGAAAGGGAACTTGCATGGAGAGCAAGACCAGAAGCTTCGGCCCCACCCCACACAGTGAGCCCGGGTGCAGGTTTGAGGACACGTGGTTCCCTCAGGAAAACAAACCCTGAGGCCCAGGGATCTACCATCTCGTGCTCACCGCTTCCCTCGCCCTCCTCCTGGAAATAGGAGAAGAAAACCTAAAGTGCTTCTTCAGACCTAAAGACAGTCTCCCCTGAGTCCCCACCCCCTCACTGAAAAGCTTATTAATACTCTGGCAGGTGCGGGAGGCTGGGGTGGGGGTGGAGGTCATGTTTAATGTAGACAGAGCTTCCGTCTGGGAAGTTGAGACGTGCTGGGGATGGATGGTGATGGTAGCCCAACAACGTGAATGTGCTTATAGTGTTGCTAAACTGTACCCTTAAAAACGGCTAAAACTATACATTTTATGTTCTTAAATTTTACCACAATAAAAAAATAACTTTAAAAAAGGTATCTATAGACTACTGTTTCCAATTTCTTGCATTCTGTAAGGCTTCTGAAAATATTTGCTTCTATTATGATAAATGGATATGCTTGTGACTTGCAAAACACAGGTAAAACCTCTGGAGGTGTTTTAGGTATAAATAGCTCAAGAGCATAGACATGGACAGAGGCACAGGACCAATACACGTAGTGAGTAGAATGTGACCGGTAGGTGGAAAGACCAGAAGGTGCCAACACTCACCAGGTACCTGGATATACACAGAACACAAACGATCACTTAACATGCACACGGCCGCCATCGCTGAAACCCAAGGCTGTTCATCAGGCGAAGTGGCGACGACAGCTGTGGCCCTGAACCCCAACTGCTCAGAAAGTCAGCAAAACAATGCACACCCCAGGATCCAAGCAGAGCGGGACTCTGACTGCTCCCCACCCGAGGTGCGTGAACCTAGCCCACCCCTGCCCTTGCTTTCTCGATGGGCGCTCCACATTGATCATAAATCGTGAGACTGATGCAGTGAGTAGTCTGTGCTCCCAGGTCTGTGACCTCGGGACAGCGGACCTGGAAGGACACTGGGAGACAACCCATGCAGGGAGCTACATTCCTGAAGGACGCACACACGTTCTTCCGTGTGAGCAGTGCCTGCCCCTCTGCCCCAATGAATCTGCTCCGAGAGAAGGGAACGCTTCCCGAAAGCCTACACCTCCACGCTCTCCTGCTCCTACCAGTCCTCCCTCAGACGCTCACCATCTATCAACACCATTTCTCAACAACGTATGGTTCTCCCTTTCTTCTCCTGGGAGCACAGCGTAGACAGCAGCCAATCCCTCAGGTTCCTACCTCTAATACTGGAAAGCAAACCCCCAAATCAACAGCATCATCAGGAACAGCTCATCCCACCATCAGCTGCTAAAGTCACCTCAACATTTCGGTCATTCCCAAACCACCCACTGCCAACAACCAGGCTCGGGAAATGCAAGGCAATTCTAATATTTTAATTAAAAGCAATAAAAAAAAAAAAAGTCGTGAAAACGCTCCAAAGCCAAAGAACATTTTAAAACAATCTGTCTGGGGATGTGGGGTGTTCAAATCCGGTCCCTCTCAATAGCACAGATAACCAAATACCGCTTATTTTTAAAGTTGGAATTTTTCTGCAAACCATTTAAAAACCGTTGTGAGCTTCAAGGTTAACTATATTACAGGCAATTACTAGGATGTGTCCCTATTTCTAAAAACGAAACGAAAGGTCTGTGCCACAAAATGCCCAAAAAGAAAAGCAAACCTGTGCTGACAGACAGCCCTCAGGAAGAGGCTGGCTATGTAGGCAAACGTTCCCCACAAATACGCATCAATAAGCTATAATTAAACTATAGCTTAATATAATTCACCTTCATCCTAATTTATCTGAAAAGCAGCGGGGACAGATTTGAAGGGACATGCAAGGAGGAAGAAGTCAAAAAGGGAGTTCATTCCAATACGTGAGTTTTCAAAAAGCCAGCGCTGCTTCCTCACCAACAGGAGAGACGAACTTCCCAGGTGATAGGAAGGAAACCAGTCAACACGGTTTCCCTGAGAAAGCCCTTGCTGCAATGCCCCCGGCAGTCCCGGATCTGTCTCCTGCTTCAACAGTGTTTGCATGGCACAGATCAGGGACGGCTCTTCTTCCAGCCTCCAACCACCCTCCACCGTCTTTTCTAGTCACCACCTTTGGAGCCACCTCAGCCATCCTCCGCCTCCGTGACCAGCCAACACTGTTTTGTTTTGTTTTTTACCTTAACTCTTCATTGCTGAACAACTATGAGCTCCCAAATTCGTCAGAATTATTCCACCGAGATGGAGGCTGCCATCAACCGCCTGGCCAACCTGCACCTGCAGGTCTCCTACACCTACCTCTCTCTTGGCTTCTATCCCGACCACAATGATGTGGCTCTCGAGGGCGTGGGCCAGATAGTCCACAAGTTGGCGGAGGAGGCGCACAAGGGCTCTGAGCATCTCTTAAAGATGCAAAACCAGCAGGGTGGCCGGTCTCTTCCGGGACATGCTGAGGTCTTCCCAAGGTGAGTGGGGCGAAACTCAGAAGGCCATGGAAGCAGCTGTAGCCTTGGATGGAGGGGAACCGGAACCAGGCCCTTTTGGATCTGCATGCCCTGGGTTCTACCCAGACCCTCATCTCTGTGACTTCCTAGAGAACCATTTCCTGGATGAGGAGGTGAAACTCATCACGAAGATGGGCAACACCTGACTCCCCTCACAGGCCGGCCCCAGGGTGGATTGCGTAAGTACAGTGGGGCCTTGACTTACGAGTTTAATTCGTTCAGAGACCAAGCTCGTTAAGGAGCTAGTTAACTCAAATTACTCTATCAACTCAATGCAAAAAATCCATGGAGAGACAGCTGGTATCAAAAAACTCGATCGTCGGGACACTCGTAACTCAAGGCCCACTGTATCTCTTCAAAAGGCTCACCCTCAAACACGACTAGGAGCCTCTGGAGCCCAGAGGTCTTTGAGGGGCTCCTCTGCATTCCCCCGGTGTCTGACTTTTGCCTGAGCCTCTCCCCGAAACCACCAGCCACCCTTTTAACCACCTTGGAGCCCTCTCCCATGCATTGGACAAAAGGGAAAGAATAAGTCTTTCTGAAGAGAAAACAGAGTCATCCTCCAGTGGCCAGGGCCACTTCCACCTGGGTTCTCAGCCATGTCAGCCCATCTTCAAACCCCACCAGCGAGTTCCCTGGCCCGGTGGGTCAGAGCAGGTCCGTGCTGTTAGGAGGGCCAGGACCTCGGTCTGTGAAAAGCACAGCTGTCCCTGGTCCTGGAAAGGCCATGAACACAGTTCCCGCGGCGGCAGCCAGGACTGGAACGCTCTGGAAGGGAGCCCCAGCTCCATGACACAGAGAGGCCATCGCCCGCATTCCCAGGCTGAGGCAGGTGGGCACGGGGACGCTGAGGCCTGTACTTCTCTGAAGACCTGCGTGTCCTGACAAACTAAGCGCGCACTGTCCGCAGCGGGGGCTGTTCTGGTGCTCACTCACCGCCAGGAGGGGCGGGACGCAAGCTCCACGCACGCCCTGGCGGCCACAGTAACTAACTGCACACGCACAGGCACCTGTCCAGGTTGCGCTCCTTCCGAAACGAATACTGTGCAGGTGTCCTCACTTATTTCCATGGGGACGTTCATGCAGAGTGCTGGGAGATGGGCAACCCCAATGGTAACTTTTCAGGAAAGACCAAGGGTTAAATCCAAGTGCAACCCTTGCTGCCACGCTGAGGAAACTAATGCGCTGCGGCTGCATTTCCTGCTGCTCTGCTAAAGACCATTTGGGGAAAAAGAAATTTTCTTTTGCATGGTTGTCAGCTCATGTTTCCGTGTCCTTTTCCCTCTGCATGAAGGACAGCAGTAAGCCGTACCCAAGGTAGAAATTAACAATATGGGCCATAACATAGTGTGACTTGCTGCATCGAAGAGGCTCAAATATACAGTGTCAGGTGCTATGAAGATGGAGCGACTTTCATGATTTTTTTTTTTGGACGTAAGTTACACGGTAAACAAGTTTTAGATGCAATATCTTCCACATTCTAAAATATCAACATTAAAAGAAGTTCATTCAGGTATTTTTTAATTGACACAACTGACAAAACACAATGTCCCTCCTTTTAAGTGCACATTTCAGTGATTTTCAGTATATTCTCAATGAGCTAATTTTTTGCACATTTCTAACATCTGGGTTAATAAAACATTGCAGGATTCTCATATCTGCTTCTATTTCGGTCTGATGCAATAACTGTGTAGATTTGGTTGAAATATGTGAAGAAAGTCTAGCCTCAACTGATACAGAATTGGAAAAGGAAGAAGTATTTAAGTTGTCTTGTGTGTGTGTGTTGTTTTTTTTCAGATAATGTTTGGTATTCTCCTTTGATCTTATGCCAGATTTAGTGACTGGTACTTCCTTAAAGGTTGTTTGGAATTTGCAATCTTATCAGTCAACCTTTCGTGTTAAATTCCTTTTAAATTCATTGGTCATCTTGCAACTTTGAGTGGCTCTTTTACCAACATGATTTTGTAACCATACTTGGGTCATTTAGAAATGGTGGCTCACTAAGTTATGCACGTCTTTCAAGTGCTGACACAGTTCATCACATAACATCCAAAAAATCACATCTAGTAGAAACAGCACTGATCACCACAGAATTGGTGATGGATACAAGGTTTCCAAAATTTTAATATTCACTTGAAAGCTCAAATTTTATCATTGTGGACAAGTAATAGAAATTAATTTTTCTTAAAATGAAAGTCAATTCGATTTTGAGGAAACATCTACAAATACCTAAGTCTGGATAGCCACAGTTTATAAGTCACCCCTTTACATAGAAGTAGGCTGTTCTGGGGGAAAAGTGGTCAGTTGAGCTCATCAGAGTGCTTTTGCCTCTGTGTGTGTCAGAACACCTTACACATACTTCTCACTTCATAGCTCAGAATATTAAAGAGAAGGCACCTGGGTGTTAAGACTTAGTAAAACCAAAATGTTTACTGATTCATCAAGTACATTTCCAAGTGAATCTGGTCTCCCTCTCCCCT